TATAAATAAGCCAAAAAAAAAAATGGTGTGGAAACTTTGACTTTGGTAAACCTTACGATTACTTGCAGAAAAAGTAGGTGGCTGCTCGATAACAACTGACATCACAATATATAACGAATGACTTGAAAAGAGAAAAACAAAATTACATAAATAAGTAATCTTTGGATTGTTAGCTGAATACAGTCGATATGATGTTGTAAAATTACTTTCTTTCATTCTCAATAATATTTCCTTTGTGTGCACTTATTCATTTGATTTCTGAACGTTCAAAAACAAATTTTACTATAATGTAGACATCTTTGTTATTCTAAAATATTTTACGTTTTGTTGGCATGACTGATGTTATTTTTGTTTAGTTTACAATCTAAGTTGTGTTTAATTCAGTTTCATCATTTCTTGCCAGAAGATGCAACTCGAAGTTGTGAAACAGACATCACTATTGCAAATAAAATTGAATTTGAAATGAATCACGTCTCTCGTGGTAAAAGTGAATTGTGTATTCTAAAATTGCTGCCCATTAATCAAAAGAATTGCTTCGTCGGCATCTCACACTGTAAGCCGTGACTAAGGCAATATTTGTTTTACATTCGCTTGCACAACGGGATATAACTTCTAATGAAAAGATACGACAGTGTATATCGAATCAATACGCAGGAAAGAAATGTTGTAGAGAATAAAAGAAAGTACTTTCACAACATCATATCAACTGTATTCAGCTAACAATGCAAAGATTACTTATCTGTGTAATTTTGTTTTTCTCTTTTCAAGTCATTCGTTATATATTGTGATGTCAGCTGTTATCGAGCAGTCACCTACTTTTTCTGCAAGTAATCGGACTTAAAAGCAGCGAGCAAACATTCGATTGATTTATGCTTGCGTAGTGGTCATACCTTATTCAGTTTGCAGTGCAATTTGATCCGAATTACAAATTTTTTTTTGCTTCTTTATAAGCCATCAATTACAAGAAAGAACAAGTTTTGTAAGAAATTTTCTACAGAAAAAGATAGCTTTTGGTTAAAAAAGAAGGAATTTGCATCAGTATTGTATAATATAAAAGAGACACTGTGTAAAAGAGTTCAATAATAACCGATGGTATTTGAGCTCAAATGAAGAAAAACATTTCGAGATGATCATTCTGTCACTGTGCAAGAGCTCATAACGATTTGGTAATTAACAGGAAAAGAAAATAATACTTCAGGATGATCTGTTACGGTTCAATCATTGAGAACAAATACATTTTCTTGTCTCAATTGTCTCTTAATTACTCTTTTCATAGCTTTTATTAGATCAAATGCTTGGCTTCATTTTGCAACTATCAAGGAAGTGCATGCATAATAAAAGTTGTGTGTGAATAGAATACGAGAGATAGAGATGAGGTAGATTGAGACCAATCATGAAACTTTATGTTTATAAAAGCGGTCGTTTTTCATCGAACATTAAATTTTTTTCTCTAAGTAAACAGAAACTTCCTAAAATCTTCACAACTACATCCTTCACAATTCTGAATTATCTGAATGTTGTAGATCTTGCAGGAAAACTGATCATTGGTTTAAGGAACTATCGTCTGGTCCCAACATCTTTCCAAAAACAAGTTCGCAGCCCAGCACCAAGGGTGGGTGAGGGTGTGGGTGGGTGTGGGGTGTGAGTCTGGATCTGAGTGTAAGTGTTGTTTTCACACACCCACACCCACACCCCACCCTTAAAAACAAGTGTATATCTCTATACGCAACTAATAAAAGAGAAATTATTCTGAGGCAAGACAATTCTCTTTAATGGCGAACAAAGATATGATTAACATATTCACGGCGATATGAATATTGTTTTTTTATAATTCGTGAAAGGTTCCATTTCTTTATTCATGCTAGTTATAATGGTTCAAAACAGCCTTTGTCAATGTTTCTCTTATGGATATGATCTATGAACATTCCTTTATCAGTGGTAAAAGAACCAGCCCCTTTGGTCAAAGTATGGCCAAAATATTCCAAAATTTCTGCGCTAAAGGAACTTTTGGGTTACTCTGTAGTGGGGCCCACCAGTGGACCCCATCGCCTCGAATGTGTTAATCATTTGCTTTTATTTTAAGAGATGGGAAAGTACAACTTAGTTTGTATATAATACTTGATTAGTCTGATGTCTTTAATGAACTTATCATTCATTCGTAATACTATTCAAAACGAAAGAATACATATGTTATTCATTCTTCGCAATTTATGTTTATTTTTTATATTTTCTGTTAAGATCATCGAATATATCAAAATACTTATAAATGGCAAACATTAAGATAAAGAAAAGAAAAAGTATTGGCATAGATAAACAAGACAATACAATTATCAATATTACGTAAAAGAAAAAAAAAGTTTTCGTTGCTTCGCCGTCGAGTCTTGCCATTTAAGCATGTTGTTCTTCTTCTTCTTCGACTTCGTCACCTTCACCTTCCTCTGCAATGAACAAAAAAACAAATATTACTTATATAAAAATGAGAAACAAAAACGAACCTTCAGCTGTTGCATCTTGATATTGTTGATATTCACTCACCAAATCATTCATATTTGATTCAGCTTCAGTAAATTCCTACAAAAACAAGCTTCACATTACAACTAACATACATTTATTAACCTACCATTTCATCTATCCCTTCACCTGTATACCAATGTAAGAAAATCTTTCGACGAAACATAGCTATAAATTGTTCTGAAATACGTTTGAACAACTCTTGAATTGCTGTACTATTATCTACAAAATATATCACAATCATTCAAAAGTTTTTTTTTTTCATCAAACATTCATATCAATATTCATACCAATAAATGTTGCAGCCATCTTAAGTCCACGAGGTGGAATATCACAAACAGCTGTTTTAACATTGTTTGGAATCCATTCAACAAAATATGATGAATTCTTATTTTGAACATTTAACATTTGATCATCAACTTCTTTTATTGACATTCGACCACAAAATATAGCAGCAACAGTTAAATATCGACCATGTCTTGTATAACATGCAGCCATCATATTTGTAGCATCAAACATTTGTTGAATAAGTTCAGGAACAGTTAATGCACGGTATTGTTGTCATCCTCTTGATGTTAATGGTGAAAAACCAGGCATAAAAAAGTGGAAATGTGGAAATGGAACCATATTTACAGCTAATTTACATAAATTAGCGTTTAATTGACCTAATCAAATAATAGACAATATAAAAATGAAATAATAATAATGAAAAATAATGATATTTAAACCTGGAAATCGGAGACATGTTGTTATATCAGACATTGTTGCTGATACTAAATGATTAAGATCATCATATGTTGGTGTTATTTATTTTAATGTACGAGAACATATATCATATAATGCTTCATCATTATCAATACAATATGTTTCATCAGTATTTTCAACAAGTTGATGAGCTGAAAGTGTTGCATTATATGGTTCAACAACAATATCAGAATCTTTTGGTGATGGAACAATACTAAATGTCATCATAATACCTGAAAATAATTCATAGAAAAAAAAAATGTCCAGATCAGAAAATTATATTCAAGTTAAACTTACGATCAGGATATTCTACACGAATTTTTGAAATAAGCAATGTACCCATACCAGATCCAGTATCACCACCAAATGATTGAGTTAACTGAAAGCCTTGAAGACAATCACATGATTCTGATTCTTTCCGTACAACATCCAAAACAGAATCAACTAATTCAACACCTTCAGTATAATGAGCTTTAGCCCAATTATTACCAGCACCTGATTGTCTTATTGAATAGAAAAATCAAAAAAAGATATTTCTTCTAAGTATTTTTTTTTGCTAGTTACCAAAGACAATGTTATCTGGTCGCAAAAAGTTGTCCAAATGGGCCACTACAAACTGAATCCATAGTTCCTGGTTCAAGATCAACAAGTATAGCACGTGGAAAATATTTACCTCCTAGAGAAGAAATAAACAAAATGAATTAAATCATATTGTTACTTGTAATAATTTATGATTACCAGCTGCTTCATTATAATAAACATTGATACGTTCAAGTTGAAGATCAGAATCACCATGATATGTGCCTGTAGGATCGATACCATGTTCATTGGAAATGACTTCCAAAAACTAGAAAAAAAATATCATGACTAATGAGGACATACAGTTATTTATGGAGAAGAGAAAAACAACATGTCATTCACAATATATTGACAGGGGTCGCAGTCGGGAAGGTACGAAGAAGAAGGATTTTGAGAAGGAATTTTTCAAAAAAAAAAGAAGGAAATTCGAATGAAAGAGGGAAAAGAAGGAATTTTGCGGAATAGTGCGCTGCAACGAATAGATTTTATATGACACCCAATAAGAAACAATAGGACTGGCCCAAGGGAGTAAAAAAGATAATTTTCGAATTATTATTTTGTCACGTTTCAAGAACATTCTCCTTAGGAGCGTAACCAGAAATAGTCGGGTGGTTGGGCGCCACTCTAAAAACTCTAAGACGTCATCTAAGAGTAATGCATTATGTCTCTTTTTTTATACAGCGAAAGCGCATTAAAGAATCTATCTGTAAAAGCAGATTTTAAAAATTGTCCTTAGTTTGTTCAGTAGAGAAAAGATCCGAAAGTCGCAAGATTTCATTTGAATAAAACTATGCTATTTTTATGCAAATCAGTGAAATTGTTGATGAATTCTTCGAAAGAGACGTGGCAATGACGCTTCACTTATAATATATACAAATTGTCCAAACAAATATCCAATATTGTATTAAACGTAATTGTCTCTATTAATTTCATCTTGCTAAATGATCGTTGAAAGATGGCGAATGAAACTGATAGAGTTATAGCACCGATTACATATGATAGTATTATTTGAAATGCCGATTGTCCAAGTTAATAGTTCAAGTTAGAGATCATTTTGATACTTCCAGACTTTGAATTTTCAACATCAATTCAAGAATCAGAGATGGACAAGTATAAGCTCGAGTTCAGATAAACTTCGAAGTTTAGGTGTTTTCTTATCAGAGTTGAAGTCGTGTATAAAAAATGAAGGGTAGTAGTCAGTGTGGGGATTCAAAAAAGGAGTAAAATTGCATGGTGTTGCAGTGGCATATGGGCGAAATTGTTTATCTCTGCTAAAAAAATTAAATTTGATAAAATAACAGACACAGAACCAGACTTGGAACCGGACCGGCCGGTCTGCCGGTTACCGATCCGGCCCGGTCTAACTTTTCAGACCGGCCGGTCTTCACCGGTTTTTTACCGGTTTTTTTACAATTTTTTGGGAATTAAAACTTGCCTATTTTGCTCATTTTTAAGGATTTCCATGGGATCAATGGTCAAAAAATTTGATCTGGAAAGTTTCCCACTGGCAAAACTTCAATCGTATTTGAAATCCCAGCTCTAAATATTGACCAACACTTTCTCATACCTCTATCAGAGGCTCATATTATTTGGAATGAATTTATTATACTCACGAAAAGTTGATCACATTTTACAAGCTTCTGTCGGTTTAAACTCAAGATTTTTCTTGAAATTTCGGGATCACTCATTTGCAGTAGTCTTAGCTGATTTTCATAGAAGCCAAATAGGCACAAGTATTCAAGTTCATGCTTTCATAGCAAAATATTTTTAATAAAATCATTTCTGTTGTCAAGGTCTTTCTAATTACTAGCATCATACAACCGCTGTAATATTTAGGTATCAATAAACCTTACATATGAAGTCTAATGTAAAAATATTACAGATTAGCTCACATTATCTTTCTCTCTACAGTAGCATTCTTCTGTGGAGTGAAATACATTTCAGCTGTGTTAACCCTCATATTACCACCTGATGTCTGCTCGGGCCCCAGATTGAATATTATGTTTCTCTTTCCTCAAAAAGTAATAGATCAACCACTTATCTTCTAGATATGCGCTAACGAAAGTTAGACGAGCATATCGATTATATCAGCGTCTTCGATAGTAACATCGTCAATATGATAAAAGAGCTAGAAGTACTCGTCAACGTGTTTTCATCAATTGGGGTCCACTCGGACCCCAGAGAGTAGAACTAATTACACATGTATTATTATTGAGATATAATTTCAATTCAGTATTTCATGCATTCGCCCAGCTCTAAAGAATATTCTAGAACTTTGTATCCTATGCTATGAGTGTCCAAAAGTGAATTGAACTTTGAGCCTTGGTATCATTGTATTAGAGTTTTCTAGGATATTTGTTCTCATCCTAAAATTTACTGTGGAACTATAAAAGACTAGTTGAAACCGCTGGATAATTTTCAATTTAAATTTTTTCCCTCTGTTACATTCTATTTCTAATAATCTCCGGCAAATATTACTCACATTTACTGCAGAGGTTGATGGAGAATTTTCCTCACTATTCTTGAAAATTGAGCTGGGATCCGTGCGGAACCCAATCAAGAAAAACATTAGTGTTGGATAGGTGGTAATATGAGGGTTAAGGAACTAAGTATTTCAAATAAGAATAGATTAAACCTATCAATTGTAGAGAAATCATATCATTATTTGAAAAGACTCAAAGAACAGTTAGCTGTTGTTCAGTCCTATAGTTGCTGTGAGTGTTAGTCGAAACTTTTTGAAAGAAATATTCTTTGGTTTTGAATATTAGCATACTAAATATGACAGACTAAAAAAGAAGTCGCTGCTATTAGAAGCTCCAAGAATTGTATAAGTTTGATATTATATGTCTTTGTAGAACTAAAATAACAAACTGTTGCGCAAGAACATTGGTTGCTTAGCTAATACATGAGTGCATCGCTTTTTTTCGCCAGTTAAATCAAGAATTTGGACCAGCCGTTTTTTCACCCGTCTAGTCATAAACTTGAACCGGCCGGTTTTTCGCCGGTCTAGACAAGACTTTGGACCGGCCGGTCCGGTCTGAAAAAATCAGACCGGTTCCAAGTCTGCACAGAACAGCTTTTACATATATCGCGATTTTTTTTTGACTCCTTCAAATGTAAACAATACTCCGTATCTCAACACAATGTTGATATTCTATTTTAAATTTGCAGGATTTCTGGGAACTGACAGATACTTGATACTTAATAATGCACTTAATCCACTGATAAAATTAATATCAACTCAGAGATAAGACAATATGGATCGTTGTGTTTTATTGATTTTACAGTTTTGAAATAAAAATAAGTTTTTCTTTAATCGGTGGTGGTTGGGCTGGGTCCAACTATGGTCTGGTTAGGCCACTAATTCTTTTCGTTTTTTAGTGAAAAATAACAGAAAATGAATTTCAAAGGCAAGCAATCGTCTTCTCGATCGTGCGATGCAGATGAATGTTGTTGTCATCTCTATGTCTCAATGACTCTCTCGGTAGTTTTACAGGTCAGGCACACATCTCACCCACATGCATTGCCATGCTGTGTAGCGATCACAAAATTTATATATGATCAATCTGTCCATTAATAGGTCGTCAGAGATATATAGCACCATCCTTGTTCTGTCCTTGAGAAAAAGGTGACACGCATACTGACTACCTCTATCTCCAATAAAACTGCGTCTTTTGTTATACTAAGCGACAATCTGACAATCTCGATTGAACATCGATACGCCACGAAAGACCATTCGCACAAGCAGCTATAAGACTCTAACCATGAGATGGTTCAGCTTCAACTACGCTCTGTCGCTGAGTAAAGGTACGAAATTTTCAACAGTAACCGTATTCTAGTGAAGCACCATTTTACGTATCTCAAGTTCTGCATATGCACCCCACATAGATTGAAGCCACACATACATACTGTAGTCTAAGTATAACGCACTTTGGATTGGACTTGAAGTAAATAAAACATTTTCTGGAGCTTTGAGAGCTCCCTATCAATGTCAGACTATAACTAAGTATTGCTAATCGGTTTTTTCCATGTTTCTGAGAACCTATCCGTGTGAAAAATAAAAAAAGAAGGACCGCTGCGAGGCCTATTCATGCAGTGGATTTTAATAAGCTCAATTAAATCTAAAATGACATAATATTATAAGAATCTTTTGGAAAAAGAATTGTTCTTAAGAATTTCGTTCAATAGCGCAATGGTTGTTAATCAGTTCTATGTAATTTAATTATATTTAGTTTTATTTCAATTCTATCCAAGACAAAATATGAAAAAAAACAAAATTAAGTATAAGAAATGATGTATTTTTTTGTTTAACAAAGCTTTAATAAATATTTCATTTCGAAGACGATTGACATAATACATAAAAAATCCATGCTTCCGTCTCCTTGAGAAAAAGATCAGGTTGATTTTCAGCGTAACGCATAAAGAAGAACAGAGGAACTTTGAGCATGATTGCACGAACATGAAATGATTTACATTCATCGAAAAAGTTATCGACGCATCCCATACAATAATTACAAATCATGCAAAAAAGAATATATGGAACTGTTGAAGCCTCGATTAACCATCGATGAAAATTCGTTGATGTTATATGCTCCCCATTATTCATCAATCCGAACCATTTATACAAAAAAGCGAACAAGGTATAAACTAATGTTAATATTATTTCTTTTTCCAATAAAAAAATAATTCCATGTGTATCTCTTTCTTCTTGCTCATACAATCCCAAATGAATAGTTTCATTGATAAGATGACGAAAACTGCAAAAATAGGGAGACAACAAAACCAAAAGTAAACAAATAAATGATAAAATAAAATAGATGTTGATGAAAATAAATTGAACGAACAATATAACTATCAAATGAATATACCCAGGTGCAAAAATCGTACGAGGATCATATAAGATCTTATACGATCTTACTGACAATTAGATTTGTAAGATTCAGATTGTATGATCTTACGAAATCTTGCAAATTTCTTGTTCTAAGATTTAATATGATTCTTATTATAAGATGCTAGCGTCAATCTTATATGATTCTTGATATAAGATTCTTGCAAGATCTGAGGATGGGAGTCTTGTAAGATATTGTAGGACCTTGTCAGACCATAATTTTAAGATATTTCTCATGCAAACTAGTTTTTATAACGATAGGTTTATAGATGTAGATTACTACACGTGTTTAAGTGATGGAATGCTTCCTAATAGAAATATAATTTCTTTTTAAATTGCAAATACACGTTTTGTATACAGCGATGCTTATTATAAAAACAGCACACTACTAATCAATTTGATTTGACTTGATTAAGTTTATTATTGTTTTGAATTTTATCTCGTTAAATTCATTTTATCGTTTATTCTTATTGAAAAAAACATTTTTTGTATTTGTTTGTAAAACTGTAATTAATAATAATTCTCTAGTGTAGAGGACATGTAAGCTGACAATGGCTAATATAGACTATATATATGAGCGAGAAACCGTTACATTCGTCTTATATTCTGGTATGGTGGAAGAAATTGCACGTCATATATTTTTTCAAAAATACAACTAGGCTTTTTATATTAATTTATAATTCTTCAAAATTATCCAGTTTTGTTTTAGATATTTGAAATTCGTATCGATCTTATTTAGTCTTTGTGGTTTCATCGACTGAATTTCGATATTTCTGGTTTATTTTGACTCAAACTAATGATGAA